CGCCGCAGCTGCGGGGAGGAAGGCAGTGCTGGTGAGAGGTGCCCAGGGCGGCCCCTCGGAGCCCAGGGAGCGCGAGGCATCTAGAAGATTCCGGCTTCGGCTCCACAGTGTCTGCGGAGAGGCTGGGTCTCCCTGGAGCTGGGCCCCGTCCCCCACGAGGAGCAGGGACCGTGGCCCCGACCTGACGCTCCCCCACCGCCGTCCCGGGGCCTGGGGAGGCTCGGGCTCCCAGAAGACTCTCCCCAGGCAGGGGGCTCCCCCGAGGATGGAGCAGGAGGACACTGAGGGCGGCCCCCCAGCTCCATCAGGACGGAGAGTCCTCAGGGGCACCCAGCGCCCCACCTTCTCGCTGAGGAGGTAGTGGTCCCATCGCTTGAGCATTTTTATCCATTTGTCTGCACGCCGGGTCTCCTGGAGGAGTTTCTGGAAGAGGACAAGCGGGGGCCGCAGGTGAGGCTCCAGCCGCGGAAGGTGGGCGCTCGGGCCGCGTCCAGTCCCCCGCAGGACCCGGAGGAGCCAGGAAGGCACAGGGCCCCCCGTGGATTGCGGCTCCGGGTCTGGGGTGCGTTCCCGGCAGCCCGTGTAGCGCTGGGACGGGGGACTGGGGAGACACCCGGGGATGTCCTGGGGGACGGGGTGCAGACAGCTGGCCCCAGCACCCCCCCACGTCCTGCCCGGAGCCAGGACGGGCTCTCACCTTGACCTCACGGGGGCTGGGGCTGGGCAGCTCCTTGTCCCTGGAAGGCAAGAGACGCAGAGCCCTGAGGCCCCGGCCCCACAGCCACCCCCCAACCCCCGTCTGCACCCAGGGGCCTGGGGAGGACAGGGCTCCTCCAGGGAGGGCAGGGGCTGCCAGCGGCCTGAGGGCGGGAGGGGGCGGCGTTCTGGGGGGTCTGAGAAGGGTGTTTGCCAGGGGTGGGCTGGGCGGGGACCCCTCGGCACCCCCAGGGGGTGACCTGCCCCCCTCCTCGATGGACCAGCCTGAGAGCTGTCCGCGTGGCCCGGGTACCCCGTGACAGTCCCGCTGAGGTACCCCTGCCTCCCCAGGGCCTGACTGCCCAGTGTCCAGCCGGCCTCGCCCTGCCTCCTGGCCGTCCCTCGTCCCCTGCTGTCCCCTGACTCCCATCTCTGCTGTCCCCTCTGCCTCTGGCCCATTTCACCTCCTGTCCTGTCGGAGCCCCAGAGCACGACCATCCCTAAGCAATCCCAGCAGCCACTAGGCCGTGACCAGGGCTGAGGGAGCCTCACCTGGGGTCTCCAGCCTCTGTCAGGTTCTCATGGGGCTGTTGACCCATCAGCCTCGTCCCCTGTGACCTAAGCCACTGGGCTGTTCCCTCCCTTGTTCCCGCCCAGGGCAGCCCCCTCCTCCTCTTCCATCCTCCTGCCTGGTCGGGCCCTCCCTCTACGGACTCCCCACCTCCCTGCCCTGGCCTGGTCCCTGGCATCTACCTGCAGCCCCGCAGAAGCCTTCGGGACTGTGGGGGCCATGGCTGGGAGGTGTGGATGAGACCACCCCTGCAGACTCGCCCCAGACCAGCACGCCCCGGCCCCAGAGCCCCTCACCTGCGGGAGCCCCTGCTGAAGGGACTGGAAACCCCCCACCCCGGGTGCAGGAGGCAGACACCTGGGCCTGCCCGAAGCAGGCGTGGGGGCCCCTCCTCTGAGTGTCCAGGGGCCTCCCCCGGGCTCAGCTCCCTTCCTGCCCAAGCCCCGGGTCGGCCTCCAGGGTGTCTCAGCTGCAGCCCAGCGCAGACATGGCCCTCAGAGGGCTCCAGGGGACAAGGTCCTGACCTGGGGGGGGGGGGTCAGCCTCCAGAGAGGTGTTCCTGCAAATGCCACCCCCCCCTGAGATGGATGAGGGGTGTCCAGGGGACTCACTGCAGAAAGCCCTGGTGGTTGGTGACCTTCCACAGTGACAGGTCCTGCGGAGACCCTGCTTGGTGCGCCTGCAACAGAGGGGGCTCCGTAGTGGGGACCGATCAGAGCAGGGAAATGGGGACAGGAAGGAGCAGAAGGGGTCCTCTCTCCCCTGAATCCTGAGGGAGCGCCGACCCTCTGAGATTGGCCGGGCACCAGAGGAAGGGCCTGTCTGCCCGGTGGGTGCAGCCTGACAGCCTCACCTGCTTCTATCTATCAGTGACGATCCCCACCTGGGCCTCACTGACCTGGTGACTATGGTCCCCACCTGGGCCTCACCTGGACCCGGTGACTGTGGTCCCCCACTGGGCTTCACCCGGACCTGGTGACTCTGATCCCCACCTGGGCCTCACCTGGACCTGGTGTCTCTGATCCCTACCCGGGTCTCACCTGACCTGGTGACTGTGGTTCTCACATGGGCCTCACCCGGACTGGTGACTGATCCCTACCTGGGCTCCCCTGACCTGATGCTCTGATCCCTACCTGGCCCTCAGCCGGACCCGGTGGCGGTGATCCCCACATGGGCCTCACCTGGAACCGGTGACGCTGGTCCCCACCTGGGTCTCACCTGACTTGGTGACTGGTCCTCACCTGGGCCTCACCTGGACCTGGTGACTGTGGTTCCCACCTTGGCCTCACCTGGACTTGGTGACTCTGGTCTCCACCTGGCTCTCACCTGGACCTGGTGACTGTGGTGCCCCGCCTGGGCCTCACCTGGACCTGGTGACCATGGGCCCTACCTGGGCTCCCCTGACCTGGTGACTGTGGTCCCCACCTGGGCCTCACCTGGACCCGGTGACTGTGGTCCCCCACTGGGCTTCACCCGGACCTGGTGACTCTGATCCCCACCTGGGCCTCACCCGGACCTGGTATCTCTGATCCCTACCTGGGTCTCACCTGACCTGGTGACTGGTCCTCACCTGGGCCTCACCTGGACCTGGTGACTGTGGTGCCCCGCCTGGGCCTCACCTGGACCTGGTGACTGTGGTGCCCCGCCTGGGCCTCACCTGGACCTGGTGACCATGGGCCCTACCTGGGCTCCCCTGACCTGGTGACTGTGGTCCCCACCTGGGCCTCACTTGGACCTGGTGACTCTGGTCCCCACCTGGGCCTCATCTGTACCCAGTGATTGTGGTCCCCACCTGGACCTCACCTGGACCCGGTGACTGTGGTCCCCCACTGGGCTTCACCTGGACCTGGTGACTGTGGTTCCTACCTGGGCCTCACCTGACCTGGTGACTGTGTTCCCCACCTGGGCCTCACTTGACCTGGTGACTCTGATCCCTACCTGGCCCTCACCCGGATCTGGTGACTCTGGTCCCCAATTGGGCCTCACCCAGACCTGGTGACTCTAGTCCCCAACTGGGCTTCACCTAGGTGACTCTGGTCTCCACCTGAGCCTCATGTGGATCTGCGACTGTGGTCCCCACCTTGGCCTCACCTGAACTTGGTGACTCTGATTCCCCACCTGGGCTCACCTGGACCTGGTGACTGGGCTCCTCAGCTACCAATGACTAGGATCCAGGATGGACCTTTAGTTGCTACTGACACCGGGATCATCCCCAGGGTCTCACTTGTTCCTGGTGACTATGGTCATTGTCTGGGCTGACCTGGCTCATCCTTGGCTCTGATCCCCTCTTGAGCCTCATCTGCTCTTGCAGGTATGGTCTCCCCTGTCGTGGGTGTGTAGTGTCTATGGTCCCTTTTGGGCCTCACCTGATGGTACTGGGCCACGATATTGGCCCTTTGCAAGGCCAGCAGGGTCTCCGGGTCCTCCTGCATTGTGCTGCAATCCAAACACATCCAAGAATGAAGGTGCATGAGAACCTTCCGAGGACACATGTGTCCGGGTGCTCCCCGTGGACAGGTAGGTGCCCCTCTGTCTGACCGGAGCTGGAGACAACCCCGTAGCTCCGAAGGGCACAGGCTGGGCTGGAGCATCACACACGGGCCCTCGCTGCCTGTCTGTCCCTTGCCCACCTACAGTCCACCTTCCCAGCCACTGTCCCAGGACATGCCGTCATGCTGGGGTCACAGAGCGCTCCCACCCCGGTATCAGGAGCACATGGGCGGGGGACCCAGGGGCTCCGGGGAACTGCCCATCTGAAGCTCGGGGGTGACGTCTCCCAGCCCGGGGCCGGCGCAGAGATGGTGGTGGGTGGGCCGGCCAGCGAGTGTCCCTGCGGGCTGGGGCGGGGGGGGATCGAAGGTTTCTCTTAGATTCCACAAGCATACTACCAAGGGGAGAAAGCGACGGACTGGACTTCATCAAAATTAAAACCTGATGCCAGCAAGAGTGCGACCAAACTCCCCACCCTGAGGGCAGCGATGTGTGAATAGCCTGAGGGGGGCCTGGGGGAGCACGAGGGACTCCACGTTCCAGTGCATGAAGAGCAAGCCTGCTCATGGGCCAGGGGGACCCAGCGGGCACAGGGCGGGATGGGGGGTGTCAGTCACCCCTGTTGGGGTCCATGCATCTAGGACAGGCTGGAAAGGTCATGGCTTGGGTCTCTGCACAGCACAGGGCTTACAGGGGAGCGGGGTTCGGGTTAGGGCTCGGGTTCGGGGTTAGGGGTTAGGGGTTAGGGTTAGGGCTAGGGCTGGGGCTAGGGGTTAGGGGTTAGGGTTAGGGGTTAGGGGTTAGGGGTTAGGGTTGGGGTTGCGGTTGAGGTTAGGGGTTAGGGTTAGGGGTTAGGGTTGGGGTTAGGGTTGGGGTTAGGGTTTTTTTTTAATTTTTTAAAAGTGAAACCTTTTATATTTTTTTAAGATGTTATTTATTTATTCGTGAGACACATACACACACACACACACAGAGGCAGAGACATGGGCAGAGGGAGAAGCAGGCTCCATGCAGGGAGCCTGACGTGGGACTTGATCGGGGTCTCCAGGATCACACCCTGGGCTGAAGGCGGTGCTAAACAGCTGAGCCACCTGGGCTGACCTTTATTTTTTATTTGTAAAGACTTTATTTATTCACGAGACAGAGAGATAGAGACATAGACAGAGGGAGAAGTAGGCTCTTCCCAGGGAGCCCGATGTGGGACTCTATTCCCCGGATGGCGATCACGCCCTGAGCCAAAGCCACACGCTCAACCACTGAGCTTCCCAAATTTGGCTTCCCAAATTCCCTCTGTTTTCCTCACAGACTGTATTCTGCCCGCTGGCCCACCACCTCAGGGGAACGATGGCCACAGAGTCCACAGCTACTGCCGCCATCGCTGCGGAGCTGGTTTCCACCGACAAGATTGAAGAAGATGCTCCTGCTCCTTCTACCTCTGCAGATAAAGTGGAGAGCCTGGATGTGGATAATGAAGCTAAGAAGCTGTTGGGTTTAGGACAGAAACATCTGGTGATGGGGGATATTCCAGCAGCTGTCAATGCATTCCAGGAAGCAGCTAGTCTTTTAGGTAAGAAGTATGGAGAGACAGCTAATGAGTGTGGAGAAGCCTTCTTTTTCTATGGGAAATCCCTTCTGGAGTTGGCAAGAATGGAGAATGGTGTGTTGGGAAATGCCCTAGAAGGTGTGCATGTGGAAGAGGAGGAAGGAGAAAAAACAGAAGATGAATCTCTGGTAGAAAATAATGATAACATAGATGAGGAAGCAAGGGAAGAGTTGAGAGAACAGGTTTATGACGCCATGGGAGAAAAAGAAGAAGCAAAAAAACCAGCAGACCAGTCTCTGGTAAAGCCTGAAATTGACAAAGAGCAGGAGAATGAAATGGAGAAGGGTGGAAGAGAAGACATGGATATAAGTGAGCCTGCAGAGGAACTACAGGAAAAAGTTGAGTCCACTCCAGATCAGTTAACTGAAACCACTGAGGCAAAAGAAATAGCAGCACCAGAAGGACTGAATGAAGCCAAGGTCACTTCTGGGAAGCCAGAACAGGAAGCCCCAGATGCTGAGGAAGGAAAATAAGTTTGTGGAACTGACGTGCAAGATGAATGCAGAGAAAAAGGTCAGGAGAAGCAGGGAGAAGTAATTGTGAGCATAGAGGAGAAGCCAAAAGAAGCTTCAGGAGAGCATCCTGTTACAACTCTTGAAAAGCAGGATACTGCAGTGGAGGCAGAAGCAGAGCCTATAGATTCAGCAGTCAAGCCAGTGGATGGGGGTGGGAATGAGCCAAAGGAGCAGGTAGCAGCTGCCTCTGAAAATGAGCCAGGAAGGGCTGTTCTTGAGCAGCTGGTAGGGCAAGAAATGCCTCCTGCTGAAGAGTCACCAAAGGTGACAATAGAGCTTGCAGAGGCCTCAGCTGCAGAAGCTGGGTCAGAAGTCTCTGAGAAGCCTGGGCAGGAGGCCACAGTTCTCCCTAAGATCAGACTCCTGTTGAACAACAGACTAATGTAGAAGAACTGACAGAAACAAAAGATGGCTCAGGACTAGAGGAGGAGGTCAGGGCAGAGTTGGTTCCTAGCCAGGAGGAAACTAAGCTGTCCATAGAAGAGTCTGAGGCAGCTGGAGATGGGGTTGAGACCAAGGTAGCCCGGGGGGCTCCTGAGAAATCGCCTGAAGACAAAGTTAAGATAGCTGCTAATGAAGAAACACGAGAAAGAGAAGAACAGATGAAAGAGGGTGAAGAAACTGAAGGCTCAGAAGAGGATAAAGAAAATGACAAGGCTGAAGAAACACCAAATGAATCACTTCTTGAAAACAAGTCTCTTCAAGAAAACGAAGAGGAGGAGATTGGGAATCTAGAGCTTGCCTGGGATATGCTGGATTTAGCAAAGATCATTTTTAAAAGACAAGAAACAAAAAAAGCTCAGCTTTATGCTGCACAGGCACATCTTAAACTTGGAGAAGTTAGTGTTGAATCTGAAAATTATGTCCAAGCTGTGGAGGAGTTCCAGGCTTGCCTTAACCTGCAAGAACAGTACCTGGAAGCCCATGATCATCTTCTTGCAGAGACCCACTACCAGCTGGGCTTGGCCTATGGATACAACTCTCAGTATGATGAGGCAGTGGCATAGTTCAGCAAATCTATTGAAGTCATTGAGAAGAGAATGGCTGTACTGAGTGAGCAGATGAAGGAAGCTGAAGGATCATCTACTGAATATGAGAAAGAAATTGAAGAGCTGAAGGAACTGCTTCCTGAAATTAGAGAGAAGCTAGAAGATGCAAAGGAGTCCCAGCGTAGTGGGAATGTAGCTGAATTAGCTCTGAAAGCAACTCTGGTGGAGAGCTCTACTTCAGGTTTCACTCCTAATGGAGGCAGCACTTCAGTCTCCATGGTTGCCAGTAGAAAACCAACAGATGGTGCTTCCTCATCAAATTTTGTGACTGATATTTCCCACCTTGTCAGAAAGAAGAGGAAACCAGAGGAAGAGAGTCCCCGGAAATATGATGCAAAGAAAGCCAAACAAGAGCTGGAGGTCAATGGAGGCAGTGGGGATGCCGTCTCCAGTGGAAATGAAGTTTCAGAAAACATGGAGGAGGAGGCTGAGAATCAGGCTGAAAGCCGGGCAGCAGTGGAGGGGACAGTAGAGGCCGGAGCTACAGTTGAGAGCACTGCATGTTAAGAGAGGGCACAGAGCCTTCCTCCTGAGGGAAAGTGTTTTTGTATATAATGTATTTTTTCACTTTGGGGGGATTCTTCTTGTATAACTTCAATAAAGATTGTAAGCAAAGGTTAAAAAAAAAAAAAACCCTAACCCTAACCCCTAACCCTAAACCCTAACCCCTAAACCTAACCCCTAACCCTAACCCCTAACTCCTAACCTCTAACCCTAAACCCTAACCCTAACTCACACCGTAACCCCTAACCCTAACTGCAAACCTAAGCCCAACCCTAACTCTAACCATAACCCTAACCCCAACTCCTAACCTCCTGCCCTAATCCCTAAAGCCTAAACCCTAACCCTAACTCTAAATCCTGTGCCTAACCCTAACCTTAACCCCTTTCCCTAATCCCTAACCTCCATCCTAACTCCTAAACACTGACCCTTACCCTTATTCCTCACCCTAACCTCTAATCCGTAACCATAAGCATAATCACTAACCCCTCACATCTAACCTAACTCTAACCACCAACTTCCTCCCCTCCCCTGACCCTACCATTCATTCTACCCATTCACTTACCCTGTGGTTCTGAGTAGTCCCTTCTGATGTGGACGTGGCCCCTAAAGGCACCTCCAGAGTCCTCCAGGGGGTCCTGAGGAAGCCCGGCTCCTGTGAGTGCGGACGTGGCCCCACGTGTTCCTGAGTCATAGTCAGCGGGTCCTGAGGACGCCAGGTCTCCTGTCACTGTGGACTATGCCTCACATCCTCTGGAAGCCTCACAGCAGGTCCTCAGGAGGCTGGGGGCTCCTGTCAGCCTGGACATGGCCTCACATCCCCCTGAAAACTCACCGTGGGTCCTGAGGGGGCTGTGGGCTCCTGTCAGCATAGACGCAGCCCCATATGTCCCGAAGCCAAAGTGCAGGTCCTGAGGAGGACAGGGGTCCTGTCAGTGTTGACGTGGCCCCACATTTTCCTCAAGCCTCACCATAAGACCTGAGGAGTCTGGGGGCTCCTGTCAGCATGGATGTGGCCCCAAATCTTCCCAAACCTTCACAGCGGGTCCTGAGGAGGCTGGAGACTCCTGTCAGTGTAGATGCGGTCCCCACATCTTTCGTAGGCCTCACCACAGGCCCAGACAAGGCTGTCCGCATTGACGCATCCCCATATTTCCCGAAGTCTACACCGGGGATCCTGAGGAGGTCAGCGTCCTGTTGTGTGGACGTGGCCCCACGTCCTCCCGAAGCGAAAGCGCGGGTTCTGAGGAGGCCGGGGCTCCTGTCACCGTGGATGCGGCCCCCAGCTTCCAGAAGCCTCAACTTGGGTCCTGAGGAGCCCAGGAGCTCCTGCCAGAGTGGACTCGGTGCCACATCTTCCTGAAGCCTCCCCGCGGGTCCCGAGGAGGCCCAGGGGCTCCTGTCAGCTTGCGGCCCAATGTCCCCCTGAAGCCTCACCGCGGGTCCTGAGGAGGCTGCGGCTCATCAGCGTGGACGCGTCCCCACGTGCTCCTCAGCCCTCCCCAGCACAGGCTGGCGCCTGTTAGTGCAGGCAGACGAGGCCTATTGCGCATGCGCGCTCCTTGGGCGGGGCCGGGGCTCGGGCGACCCCTGCGGGACGCTCAGGCGCTGCAGGAGGCCATGCTGGAGGCAGCATCCCCGAGCCTGGGGCCGCACCTGCCTCCTTCCAGGCTCCAGCTGAGGCCTGTGAGCTTCGGAAATGTCTCACTGAAACGGAGCCCAACACCCGGCTTCCCCAGAAATACTTAAGGACAATGAATGGAGCCCACAGGACGCGAAATTGAAATGTGGACCAGACTTTGACCACGTCCTGCAAAACTCACTCAACCCTCTTCCACTGTGGGCGGGACCGCGGGCTGGTGCAGCCGCCCTGGAAACAGTGTGGAGGCTCCTCAGGAAGTTACAAATAGAGCCGCCCTGCGACTGACAGGTGCACGGCCTGGAGCTCACTCCGAAGATACAGATGCAGTGAGACTCGGGACACCTGCACCCCAATGTCCACAGCAGCCGGGTCCACAGTAGCCACACTGTGGGAGGAGCCTCGGAGGTGCCCTCAGGCAGATGATGGATAAAGAGGATGGGAGATAGATGATGGTAATAGATGATAGATAGATAGATGATAGGAATGGTACTCAGCTATCAAAGAGAAGGAAATCTTGCCATTTGCAATGACGTGGATAGAACTAGAGGGATCATGTTAAGTGAAATAAGTCAGTCAGGAAAGAAAATTACCGTATGGTTTCATTCATAGCTGACATTAAAGAAGCAAATCAGATGGGCATCTGTGAAGGGAAGGAAAAACAAATAAGATGAAAACAGAGATGGAGGAAAAAGAGACTCAATCACAGGAAACAAACAGGGTCGCTGGAGGGGAGGGGAGTGGAGGGACAGGGTAACTGGTAGACGGGCACAAAGGAGGGCACGTGATGTCATGAGCCCTGGTGTTATCTCCAACTGGTGAATCCCTGAATTCTACCTCTGAAAGTATAATACACTATACTGTTAATTAATTGGGTTTAAATTAAATTAAGTTTAAAAAATCAGTTGACTGTATCAGAGTGCATTTTCTTCCAGGCTCTCTATTCTGCTCCTTCAGCTTATGCCAGAACCACACCCCTGTGGGTTTGGTTTATTTAAGTAGGCTCCATGCTTCGTCCATAGCCCAGCACAGGGCTAGAAGTCATGACCCCGAGATCAAGACCAGGGGTGAGGTCAGGAGTCGAATGCTTAACCAACGGAGCCAGCTGGGGGCCCGAGAACCACACTGCTTTATCCTGTGTCTCTGTGACATCGTTTGAAATAGGAGAGTACTGCATCCCGCTCTGTCCTGCTTCTCCTATACTGATTTGCTGTCCAGGGTCATTTGTGGGACGGACGAATGTCACGAGTGCTTTTTCTATTTCTAAAATCGGCCACCATGATTTTAATAGGAATGACATTGGAACTGCGGGTGGCTTCTGGAACTGTGGACATTTTAACAGGATGAAGGCTCCGACCCCACGAGCCGAGGATGTCATCCCAAAGTCTTGTAATTTTCAGTGTACAAGTCTTGCACTCCCTTGGTTCAGTCTAATTATTTTGTTCTTTTGGATGTTCCTGATAAGGGAGTCATGTCCTTAATTTCCTTTCTGAGTGCTCATGTTGGGACACAGCAAGGCTACTGATCTCTGTTCATTTTGTGTCCCACAACTTTACTGAATTCATTCATTAGTTCTAACAGTTTTTGGTGGAGTCTCTCAGGTTTCCTGTTTCTAATGCCACATCTTCAGCAAATAGGGACAGTGTGACGTCCCCCTTACAGGTGTGCAACCGTTTCTGTTTCCTGTCTGTTGACTACAGTAGGACTTCCAGTGCTGAGAGGGGACTTCCTTGGCTTGTTCCTGCTCTTAGGGGAGACGATTTCAAGTTTTCACTCTTGAGGATGATGTCAGCTGCGGGCCTTCCTACACGGCCTTTATTCTGTTGATATACGTTTCCTCAAAACCCACTATGCCAAAAAAAAAAACCAAACAAACTAAAAAACCCGCTATGTTTTTATGTTGTATTTTGTCAAATGCTTTTTCTACAACTCTTGAGAGGATCATATGCCTTTGTCCTTTCTCTTGTTTTTGTTTTGTTTTGTGTTTTTAATAATAAATTTATTTTTTATTGGTGTTCAATTTGCCAACATACAGAATAACACCCAGTGCTCATCCTGTCAAGTGTCCCCCTCAGTGCCCGTCACCCATTCACCCCCACCCCCCGCCCTCCTCCCCTTCCACCACCCCTAGTTCATTTCCCAGAGTTAGGAGTCTTTATGTTCTGTCTCCCTTTCTGATATTTCCCACACATTTCTTCTCCCTTCCCTTATATTCCCTTTCACTATTATTCATATTCCCCAAATGAATGAGAACATACACTGTTTGTCCTTCTCCGATTGACTTACTTCACTCAGCATAATACCCTCCAGTTCCATCCACGTTGAAGCAAATGGTGGGTATTTGTCGTTTCTAATGGCTGAGTAATATTCCATTGTATACATAAACCACATCTTCTTTATCCATTCATCTTTCGATGGACACCGAGGCTCCTTCCACAGTTTGGCTATTGTGGACATGGCTGCTAGAAACATCGGGGTGCAGGTGTCCCGGCGTTTCATTGCATCTGAATCTTTGGGGTAAATCCCTAACAGTGCAATTGCTGGGTCGTAGGGCAGGTCTATTTTTAATTCTTTGAGGAACCTCCACACAGTTTTCCAGAGTGGCTGCACCAGTTCACATTCCCACCAACAGTGTAAGAGGGTTCCCTTTTCTCCGCATCCTCTCCAACATTTGTTGTTTCCTGCCTTGTTAATTTTCCCCATTCTCACTGGTGTGAGGTGGTATCTCATTGTGGTTTTGATTTGTATTTCCCTGATGGCAAGTGATGCAGAGCATTTTCTCATGTGCATGTTGGCCATGTCTATGTCTTCCTCTGTGAGATTTCTCTTCATGTCTTTTGCCCATTTCATGATTGGATTGTTTGTTTCTTTGGTGTTGAGTTTAATAAGTTCTTTATAGATTTTGGAAACTAGCCCTTTATCTGATATGTTATTTGCAAATATCTTCTCCCATTCTGTAGGTTGTCTTTGAGTTTTGTTGACTGTATCCTTTGCTGTGCAAAAGCTTCTTATCTTGATGAAGTCCCAATAGTTCATTTTTGCTTTTGTTTCTTTTGCCTTCGTGGATGTATCTTGCAAGAAGTTACTGTGGCCGAGTTCAAAAAGGGTGTTGCCTGTGTTCTCCTCTAGGATTTTGATGGAATCTTGTCTCACATTTAGATCTTTCATCCATTTTGAGTTTATCTTTGTGTATGGTGCAAGAGAGTGGTCTAGTTTCATTCTTCTGCATGTGGATGTCCAATTTTCCCAGCACCATTTATTGAAGAGACTGTCTTTCTTCCAGTGGATAGTCTTTCCTCCTTTATCGAATATTAGTTGACCATAAAGTTCAGGGTCCACTTCTGGGTTCTCTATTCTGTTCCATTGATCTATGTGTCTGTTTTTGTGCCAGTACCACACTGTCTTGATGACCACAGCT